TTACAAGATCTGCATTTTGTTTGCATTACCCAAATAGCAATATGTAAGACACACATGACAGATGTAACAAGAGTGTCTTGACCAGTAAGCAAACTAGCCCCGGTCTGGGAAAGAAGTGTTAAGAGGAGAGTACTTCCGTAAACTCTATTTATTTTCCTGTTTCTCTGGTGTGAAGAATGTTTCATCAAATGTCCACTGTGTCGCTCAGTGCCACTGTGAGCAGCTACTGCTGGCAGTGGGCCTCTGTGTAATTAGCTGACTAGATAGGTGTTTGTGTTCAGGCATCCGCACTGCGGTCAGCAAGTGTTTTCACCAGGTACTTACAGAGCAGATTTCATGCATTGTTCATTTAAGGGCTAAATTTATATCCTTTGGGAATCATGGCAAGCACACACAGAATGTTGCTGGCTGAGATAGCTTTGTTACCTTAGTACTGGGATTGGCACCATGTTTACATGCAGATGATTAAGGGGAAAGCCCTTACAGTGGACAAGTATCCAAAGTTCATTTCTGTGACTTAAATGACAAAGGATTTGTAAACTTTGCCTGGATTTTCCTCATTTTATACCAGTTTTGTTCATCACAAATTTCTGTTCACTGCTCCATGTTTTTTAATACCTGAAGCATTTGATGAAACACTCTTTAGTGCTATCTAGGCATTTTCTTACTTTTATTACAAATGTGACATTTGTCAGAAGATGCACTAAAATATGAATGGAGATTGACCATGTTCATTTTCCAGCTTATAGGCAACTTTATACAGACTTGAAAAATTACCCAGTTGTTTAGTGAAGCGAAAGCGAAAGGTTTCCTGCCGCAGGAGAACTTTTTATACAACATGCCACTGCTTTTGGTGGGAAAGTGCAGAATAGATAAACCTTTTATGAAGAAACCGTAATTTACAATGTTCCGTGAGAATGTTACTGCTGATTTTCTTTTTCAAAGTGTAGAATATTGTTTGATTTCTAGAATTCATTTTTGACCCGGATGATGGTTCTTTTACAGACCAATAAAAAAGGCTGAACATTTTCACAAATAAAGTGTAACTAAATCTGGATTTCTGATACCTTGTCATTTGGGGGATTTTATCTTACTTTGTTGCTTTACAATTCAATGCAGAGAAGTTATTGACCATAAGGGAAATAAAGTTAATTCAGATTTTGTGTTAAGTGTTGTCTTTTTCACATCTTGTTTTTGAAAGGATCTTCAGAGTTCTGACCTCATCTTCTCTACCAACCTCACAAAGGTTTTAGTCAGTGTGTGGAAAAGTTCAACTCAAACCACTTTTTCAAATTGCACCTTTTTACTCAGAATACAACATACCTCGTTGTGACTTTTTGGGGGAAGGGAAGGAGACCACACTGTAAGGAGTATCCGCTTCACAGGATTCCAAGACTGCACAGCCAGGCCTGGAAAGCGCACGGTGACAGTTTGGAGCTCTCTGTGCTGTGGTAGAGAAGTGAGGTGGTGGTAGTTTTACCACACTGGAGTGTCAGTTGGTGAGAAGATTAAGATTGTTCCAAACCTAAATTTCTTCCATGTGTGATCACTAACACAGTTTTTCGGTGGGAGTTCGGCATTGTGACTCTGAAGCTTTTGACTACAGCTCCATGGCAGTGCTTAGAACGTAAGTAAGGCCGCACTCAGCTTTCACACAACACTGTCGTCCTACTTCAGTTTGCAGTGGCGGCATTCTGAATGCCTCAGCGATGACCAGGACGCCAAAGACTGGACACCGTGAAAGCATCGTCTCTACTGCGGGACCTTCAAGCCATAGGCTGTTGCTTCCTGTTTAGAAACTGTAGCCTTGGTGCTGCTCACTGGGCAAATACTTGCCTGGCATATAATATGCAAGAGCCAAAAATTGTGCTGAAGTCCACATTCAGGGCTCGGGAGATGACTCGGGCAGTGAAGTGCTTGCGTAGGCCCTGAGTTTGATCCCCAGCACACAGGCTGCCCCTCAGGTTCTAGGGGCAGGGAAGAGACAGGGATCCCTCAATGTCATTGGCCAACTGTTGTAACTGAATTGTTGAGCTTCAGGTGCAGAGAGAGAGCCTATCTCAAAACGGAGGTGAGGTGTGATTGGAGAGGACAACTGACATTTCCTCTGGCCCGTATACACACAAGGACACAGTTCAGTACTGTTTAGTATATCTACAGCATTGTATGACTGATTTTCCATTCTTTTTCAGCTGGCTGCAGTAGCTGCTGCCTACCGTGGTTTTTGCTGGATGTTGGCCTTGCCGCCCGCCCTTAAGCCCACTGAGAGGTGGAGAAGTAGATGGGCATGTAGTTCAGCAGCCTGCAGTTGCTGTGTGTGTAAGACACCATGAGAACAAGAAGCTAATGAAGTGCTGTTATGAACTGAAATGAAAGGTGTATATGCCATGGTGAATTACAAAAGAGGAGGCGAATTTATATCCTGGGTTAGGGTCAACACAATAGAGAGGCAGCATTCCTAAAACTTCTGTCTCTTCCCAGCCACTCCCTCTTAACCTTTATGGTAGTGACTGATTGATGGCCTTCTCACCTCGGTGTTTTTCTATGGAATCATGGAGTATATAGGCAGCCCTAGTCAGCCTTTGTAAGCCCGATGCACTTTGTTTGACACAACTGAAGGATGATTTCATCAATATAATCACCTTTGCAGCTTGATGAAATATACACATTGATTCTTTGGTTGGTTTGTGAATGGACATTTGCAAACAATGTCAAGAAGGTGATTAGGCCACTTGCTGCCTACTGTGCGCATTTCTTCGACCGCTGGCCTACCATTGGGTTTTCAGGGTGCGGTAGTGCCTTGCTTCCATTTCTTTGTCAGCCTTTCACTTATCCTGTTTCCTCCCGTGCTAGAACTCACTGATCCCATGCTAAGATTACTAGCCATCACACCCAGCTCCGTGAGAACAGATGGTGATTCCTTGTATTTAGTCCATTTGGATGCACTTTTTCTGAGGGAGCTGTGTGTTCTGGTTTATGCTATGTTTCTTTGTCTTTTGAAAATTATTAGTTTGTGTATTTTATGAGAACTTCAATGTTCATGTTGCAGATTAGTAGGGATTAATCTCTTTGAATCTTTTGTATGTATATGGCTCTCTGTACCTTGTTGAAAAACACTTTACCAGGTGGTGGTGGTGGTGGTGGCGCACACCTTTAATCTCAGCACTCCGGAGCTAACTCCGTGGATAAAGGCAGCTGCTGTGAAGCCTGAAACCTGAGTTCAGTCCCCGGGATGCAATCATGGAAGGGAGAGAACAGACTCTTCCGTTTGTCCTCTGATCTCCACACCCCTCCCCAAGACACATACGTAATAAATGTAAAATTGTAACACTTTTTAAAAAATCTTTTCATAAAACCATAAAGACAGTGCCTGTCCTGTGTTCATTTCTATGAACTTGATGCTCTTTGTCTACCCTGACTCCCTTGTTGAGTACATTGTGGAGTGCCTGTTAACTGGTGGGGTGGTGGTTGCACATATACCTAAAGTTTATATTTTAGGGACCAGAGAGATAGTGCGGTGGTTCAGAGTGCTTGCCATTTTTGCACAAAACCCCGTACCCACACTGGGCAGCTCACAACTGCCTGTAACTACAGCTCCAGGGGATCTGAAACCCTCTTCTGACCTCTCCAGGTACCCACAAATGGACATAGACACAGAGACCCATACACATAAATAATTGTGTGTGTGTGTGTGTGTGTGTGTTTGCTTGTATTTTAACCATGATGGCTCACACATAATCCCAGCACATGGGAGGCTGATGTAAGAGTTCAGATTATCTTCAGCTTCATAGTTAGTTCAAGGACAACCCTGAGACCCTGGCTCAAAAAAAAAAAAAGTTTGACAGGTTTTTTTTTAAGTCTTTAACATTTTCATGGCTTCTATTATCTGGTGTCCTGGTGTATGAATTTTGATAAATACTGTCGAAGATTTTAATCTCTACTTGCTTGACTATAGAAGCATGTTTTTACGTAATGAAATTGTTCTTGACCTTGTCACCAGCATTCTAGCAGTTATTCAGAGGTTATGTATGATTGGCATCATAACTTAGAAAACACAATGACTGTTTTATTTCTCTCCTTGTAGTGGATATGTCATCGTTTTGCTCCAGCGCACCAGCTCAGACAGGTATCCGGTGGAGGGAGCACTGCATGGAAACAGTAGCATCCTTGTCTTGTTCTCTCTCTCACTGGGAAAGCTGCTGTTCCTTTGCCCCTGAGTATAATTCCTACAGATATCTTTGATCAAATTAAGCAAATTAATCATGAGTGGTTTTGTTTTGAGCTGTGTTTGACAGGATCTTACTAGGTATGTCTTGAACTCATGGCCCTCTTGCATCTGGGATTGCAAGCATGTACCACCATGATAGTACAGATGTGTAAGATTTGTTTTTATCTTATGTCTTTGTGGGTATGCTGGTTATTGTTTGTCAGTTGACACAGGCTAGAGTCACTTAGGAAGAGGAACCTCAACTGAGAAAAGGGTTCCATCACACTGTCATGAGTATGTCTGTGGGTCATTAATGGTTGATGGAGAAGACCCCAACCCACTGTAGGCAGTACTAGCCCTGGGCACGTGGTCCTGGAGTGTAGAACAACAGTCCAGTAAAAAGCTGTTTTCTGCTTCATTCCTTGCCTTGCAGTCCTGTCTTGACTTCCTTCAGGGATAAATTCTAATATAATAAGATATAATAAGCCCTTTCTTCTTCAGCCCTGGCTGTCCTGGCACTCACTCTGTAGACCAGGCTGGCTTCAAACTCAGAAATCCACCTGCCTCTGCCAGCCCTTTCTTTTTATCAGTGTTTTATTAGAGCAACAGAGAAGAGACTAAGACAGAAATTGGTGCCAGCAAGTAGGCTATTGCTGTGACATGCTGACCATGTTTTCAGGGAGGATTGTAGAGGTGCTTGGGACTTTGGACTAGAAAAGCCATTGAGTGCTCAGAGTTTTGGATTATTCTGTCGGAGCTTGGGAGATACGAGTGTTGAGAGGAATGCAGATGATGGAAGCCTGGATTGGATTGTAAGAGGGAAACCATGGTTGCGATTTACTTAAGAATCTGTTGATTCCTCTAAGAAACCTTTGCTTTTCTGGGACAGTGGATGTTAATCATCTGGGACTGAAGAATCATCCGTGATCAATAAGAGACCAGCATCACTTCTTGGAAGTGTTTCCTCAGGGTCAGCGTACAGAAGCTGTATTCCGGAGGAAGCCAAGGCTATATCATGCTGGTAGCCAAACCCAGTAATGTGAAAGAGATGTTCTGGCATTGCAGGCATGGAAGGGTCATGGAAAGCAGTTGAGGCTTAGTGCCATGTAGCATGGTTGGAATCCCTGAGGAGAAGCCAGATCACTGACAGTGCATCCTCAGTTGTAACGAGCAGACTAAAGAGGGCAGGCCCATGGAGTAACCATCATGAACAGTAGCTGGTATCAGGTAATGCCAGCCTGAGCCTGTAAGACAACCTGCATATGCTGCTACTGGCGGAACCAGAGAGATAAGTCCCAAATGTCAGACACTGAGCTATTTATAACAGCTGGATTTTGGTTTTACTTTGTTCCAGTTGTAACTGTCATGGTTTATCCCTCTAGAAATTAAGTATTTAACTTCTTATTTTATAGGAACCTAGAGTTAAGAGACCTAGAACTTTTTAAATATTTGAAATTTTTTTAAAGACTAAGTCTTTAAACCATGTGGTAGTGGCACACTTCTATAATTCCAGTAATTGGGAGGCAAAGGCAGGTGATTTCTTAGTTTGAGAGAGTTCCAGGACAGCCAGGGCTACAAAGGGAAACCATGTCTCAACCACAGGGTAGCTGGAGTCAGGTCTCTACAGTTCTCTGTGCTAGGACTCAAACTCGGCCACCAGGCTTATATTTACCCACAGAACAATCTCATCGGCCTTGACCTGTAGAAATTCTTAACAGTGAGTGTATCTAAGTTGTACTCCTAATTCTAGTACCTAGAGAGCCTGTGTTCTACTGCTTGGGCTTTTCCTGCTGGTTATTGTCTGTCATCTGTTTAGTATGGGGGCTTTGGTGGGATGAGCATTATATTAAGAAGCTGTGTGGTTCAGTATAGGCCATTGTTGTGATTTTGCTTTTCAGAAGATTATCTGCCAGAGAACTAGGGGAATTTAAAAAGCCAGACTCCAAACCCAGTTGAAGGGCTGAATGTTGTATACAAAGCTGGCCTGCCATCATTGCTCCCAAGTTGAAGTTGTACAAGGACCTCAGCCAGATGTGGAAATACAAACATTGTTGCTCATCCCACAAAGGTATGAACATCTCTCTTTGGCCCCTGCCAATATCCAAGGGAAAATGGCCCCAAATGCTGGCTTTATCTCAAAATGTGTATCTTCTCTGGTGTACTGGCCTGGTGGTAAAGGCCCTGTGTTATTTTGCAATAGAATTCCTGTGTACAGATTTTCCAGCCATCTTTGCTGGGCTTTGATCCATGCTGTAGGCTTCTGCTGTCAGAAGGGAACTAACATAACAAATTGTCCCTTTGGATCCCAGAACACATGCAACACCTGTTTCTTCCATCTTCTCCGCCACCTTAGTTCAGTGAACACTACCCAAAGCTAATTTGTGTCCCTCAACACAATCTCAGTTTTACTAGAAAGTGGGACATATCTGGGGCCTTGTTTCTAATTCGGACAGCAACCTGGAGGCACTTGGGTTGGAATATCGGGTGTCTGCTTTCCTGAGATGGCTTTGGTGAAGGATGGGGACCAAACTGAAGGTCACATGGCAGCTAGCTGAGCGCTGTGCTCACTGTTAAAAGCCACCATGAGCAGCAGAGATTAGCATGGTCTGTTAACTGCTGGAAATTTTTATAAAATGGCTTTCTAGCTTATGAAGAAAAACACAGTGACAAACATTGCAGAAGATGACCACTAGTCAGCCTCAGTGACCACCCTCTCCAAGGAGGGAAACCTGCCAGCTCCTGTCTGCTGGGTGTGTAGCCTCACAATAGGTATGTGCTCTATTGTGTTGACTGTGCAGGATTTAATTAATTTTGCTTCAGCAGTTGGGTACCAATATTTATTCACCAGTCTGTTTCCTCCATTTAATTGGCCCAGTGCTGGAAACTGATCTCAAAGTGATGTTTCTCTATCCGACTGATCTGGCGCATGTCCTTAAACAACCCCATCCTGACACCGTAGTCTTACAAAGTCATTAAGTCAGCCAGTGCAAATTCTGCCTCTGTCCAGTGGCCCACAGGCATGTTCTAGCATCTTGATGAAACAGGGCAATCATCCTCTACCATGTATCTGATGGAGGAGCTCATGTCCAGATTACACACAGGAGATTTCTTGACAGAAGAAATCAAAATGGCGAGCAAATGGAAACAAACGTACTACCCACCAGGCTCGCCAAAGTACATGTTGGAAAGTGTGCGTGCAAAGGAGGACTCATGCTGATGGGGACTTCCCTGCTTGGCATCAGTGTGATTTGAAGGCACACATACCCTCATTAGACCCCGTTCTCCTAGGCTGTCAAAACCAGGCAAAATCGGGCTGAGAAGATGGCTCAACAATGAAAGGACTTGTGCAAGAGAACTGGGGTTCAGAACACTAGAACCCAGGCAGACACCACACAGGTGCAGCCACCGCCCGTGGGCCCAGCAGCTTTGGCTTCAGAAGTTGTGGGTGTGATTGAGAGAGCCTGTCCCAAAAGAGAAGAGTGGTTGAAGAGGACTCCCAACACCAACCTGGGGTTTCCACATGGTTGCGTGTGAAAAGAAAGAAACTGACAGTCAGGCTCACATAAAGAAAAAGTGTCTTTGTTTCTTTATATAAAGAAAAACTACTAAAAGTCCAAACATAATTTGAGCTAAGGAACCAAACAAGAACATGTGAGACATGCTTATGGCCTGAGTCAGGTAAGTTAGGATATTTTGTTTCATGTTCTTGCTGCATTCACACAGAAAAGGAACACGGCCCACAGGATGATGGTGGTCAGTGTAGAAGAGTTGAGAGAAGGAATGGGGACTTGGCATGAATGGGGCTCTTGGGAAGCCAGGGCGACCTGTTGGACTAGTCACCTCTACAAGGGTTCATTCCGCTGACAACTCTGCACTGCACCCAAGAGAAAGGAAAGGGAGTGAGATGACAGCCCCCAGCCTTCCTCACTCCTCAGAACTGACACGGCTAGAGGACAGTTCTGACCAGAGTGGACACTGGGAGCTCTGACCAAAGACCAGGGTCTCCAGGGAGCAGCCATATTCAGGTGGCGGTTAATGCTGTCTGGGTTTGCTCACCCTTGTCCTGCCTGCAGTGTGGAACAGCCCAGTGACAAGCCTCCGTTCAGGAGATGGCAGAGCTATGCTAACCTGTTGGGGAGCTGCCTGGGGAACCGAGCTCCATTTGCCTCAGGTAAGGTGGGGTGAGCTGTGGAGGTGCAGGCAGTGCTCCTGAGGCTGCCAGGGTGGTGAGGGGGAGATGTTCCATCAGGTCCAGATCTGAAGGGTGTGAAATTATGGGGACGATAATGTGGCTTCATAACATCTAAGAACCTGGAGCAAGATTCCATGAAACTTAAGATTTATTCGGGGCAGGGGGTAAGGACCTTGCTCACAGAGGCCAGAAACAGTACCAGATGCCCCGGGGCTGGCGCTACTAGTGGTTGTGAGCCACATGCTGATGCTAGGAACTGATCTTGGGTCCTCTGCAGGAGCAGTATGTTTTCTTAGCCACTGAGCCATCTCTCCAGCCCTAGAAATGGCATTTTAAAACAGCATACACTGCCTGGCTGAGAGTGGGCCTGGACTGGCTGCTGGGATTTTTTGTGAAGCTTTGCCCTTACATGGAGCCAGCATGTGGAATTGGCGCAGAACATACTAGGATAGGTAGCTGTTTTCAAAGTCCACTTCACAGAAGAAGAAAAAAAAAAAAGAGGCATTCAAAGCAAGAAAGCATGACCTACTTTTGTAGAATTTAATTTTTGGTGTAGTCTTAGATTTTCTAGATAAGGTCACGGCATGTACCAAAAGAGACCGCCTTTTCAGCTGATCATTTTCTTGTTCATGCCTGATCGCACTACCTAGAACTGCTAGTGTGTTGATGGCAGTGGCGAACGCAGTGGATCCTTACCTCGTTCTTGGCCTTGGTAGAAGAGCTTTTAACTTCTCACCTGTGTAATGATTGTAGGGTTTGGGGATATAATACTATTTCATTGTGAAATAGTATTGAATCTTGTCAAATGCTTTTCCTACATGGTTCAGATGACTGTAGTTTGCCTCTTTATTAATGTATGGCATGTTGCACTGATAATTTTCATGCATTCAACCACCTTGCCATCTAAGAATTAACCTCATTGTTGTTGTGTAAAACCCTTTTAAACAGGCTGTGAAATTTGCTGCACTAGTATTTAAGGAATTTTGAACCAGTATTGATACAGAATGTTTTTTTTTTAATCTGTTATTGCTTTGGTATTGAGCATCATCTGACAAATTAGGCCAATCCAGAATGTCTGGTGTAACTCTAAATGTTTGGCAGGATTCATCTAAGAGGCCATCTGGACCTGGCATGTTTTGCTTAGGAGATTTTAAGTCACTGATCTAAACTCCTTACTATTTATAGATCCATTCTAATTTCTTAGTTCATGGTTCATTCCTAGTAGGATGTATTTCTAGGAATTTCTTTCCATCCAGGCATACAGTTCTTCCCAGGGCTGTTGTTTAGAGAGGGAGTGTGTTGCTCAGGTTGACCCTAAACAAGGTACTCATAATCATTTGCTTTCATAGAACTCAGAGTAGCCCCTAAGTGATGCTGGTCCGGGGCTTTTTCATGGATGTAAACAGTGTTGGGGACTGAAGACATGGCTCATTGGTTTAGAGGATGTACTGTTCTTGCAAAGACTGGTTATTCCAGCATCCATGTTTAGCCACTTGCAACTCTGGCTCCAAGGGATCCAACACCCTCTTCTTCAGGCACTGCACTTCCGTGCACATACATAACTCAATTTTAAAAAACTTTTAATATAGTTATTGTGATTAGCAGTACCAAAACAAGAAAACTGAGATTACTCAAAGCTACCTACCAATCAAAACTTTTGAATCCCTAAAAATAACACACACACCAGACACAAGAGTATTTAATGGAAATATATTTGTCTAATATCTACAAAGTGTCAACAGTTGGTCTTAAGAAAGCAGACAAAAGGCACAAAATTAGTATTACTGCAGAGAAGCATTCATGCTACTGGATTTTATAAATATCATTGGAGTGGCAAGGTAAAAAATAAATTAAGCACTCAACAGAAGTCCAATCAGACTTTGCTTTTCTCGATTTTGTTTGGTTCTGTGTTTGACCTCCTGTGCAAAGGCTGGAGACTGATTCTGGGACTATGGAGACTCGTGTGTCCTAGTTACATTGGCTTTCTTGCAGTTTGGGTCAAAATTAAGAAAGATACAGACTATTTGTTCTCTTTTCCCAACTAGCTATGAGGCAGTGGCGGTCCATGTAGTGTACGCATGCGTGTATTGAACTTCCAGAGCCCTTTGTCATGACTGTGTGATTTGTCTTCTGCTGGGCAGAGCACAGATGCTCATGCTTCGGCATGAAAAGTGCCAGAAAGATGGACGAAAGCTACCTGGTGGGCCTGACTCTGATTGCTCCAGAGCCACCCACAGCAGCCACAGGAAAGCCTACTTGCTCTTTCCTGGGCGTGAACTTGAGTCATAACACTCATCAGCAAAGGGTGCCTACTCCCCTTCTGCCAGGGATGAGCCCCTTTCAGACAGAGACTTCAGCCGGCTGTGCCACTTCAACCTGCACATGTCAGGAGTGAGGTTAGTGGAAAAGACCTTAAGTGCAAAACTACCTTGGCAAAGTGGAAAGTAGAAAACATCAAATCTCTTGAATAAAAAGGAGCTCAAGATTACCCAGTTCAGCCATGGCAGGTGCTGTGCGCGCACACACAGGCCTCAGCTGGCTCTCGAATAAACCCTCAGGCAGAATTTGGGGTGCATGTTTCACAGTATAGAACCCCTCCCTCTGACTTGGATGCTAACAAGAGGCTCAGCAAAAATGCCAACAGAACCTTGATACTGTACCACTTTAATTCCTACAAACTCAGGCCTACTGAGGGCAGCGCTGCACCTCCACCCGTCAGTGTGTCTTCCAGAGGGGGTTGAAGTACACCCAGCCATCACCCTGCAAGAGAAGAAGGAGGTTTGACAGTAGGATCTCACAGCTGAGAATTGAAAAGCAAGGACCCCTCCCAGCCAGCCAGGTGAGCCTCAGACTGGCCAAGGCCAACAACTCTCCTCCAAGCCAGTCTTCCTCAACCCTGGCACTTGCTGAGCTTATCTAAGGATACATTTCTCCCCTTCCCAGCTGAGATAGGAAGACGCATTTGCTTTTAAAATGTGGGGTCTTGACAGTTTCTCTCTAGATGACTTTGCAAAAAAATTCTGAGACGGGGGGCGGGGTGCAGAAGAGAGGCAGGGTAGATGAATCAAAGGGAAAGGAAAGGTAACATGAAACATCCACCCACCCCAAAAATGAGACTTTTTGACAGGTGTCTGTCACAATGCATCTAAGGACAGACGCCACGGGACCCCACCCCTCAGTCGCCAGGTGAGAAATTGATGGCACGTGTAAGCGGGTGACAACCCAGAAGGGACTGCACAAGGCAGAGGACAACAATCCTGGTATCAGGGTGATAGGTATCTCCAGTCCTCCTCTTACAGATCGGTTGGCTTTTATCAAGCCCCAGGGATAGAACTTCGAGAACAAATTTCCACATCAGTCAGGCAAGCTGTCTCAAAGACAGGACTCACCTCAAGGAAGGCTTCAAGGATTTCTGTCCCCTGAGTGAGCCCCCTCCACCCCCCACCCCACAGGAGACCCTTCAAGGCAGTCTCCCAAGTACCATCAAGTCTGAAGTTGCAGCCAGGCAGCCACGGCCACTGCCTCCTGTTCCTGCCCGTAGGTCACCCCGTCCCACCAGGCTTCCCTAGCTATCACCCCAGAGCCAGAAAGCACAATCCATTCTCATAGTGGGAGTTAGAGACTAGCACCTGGCCCCCACTGATCCATTCTGATTGGCTCCTGGGATTGAAATTTGTATAAACCCTTAGCATACAAATATTGCAATCCTCGTTAAAAACTCTGTCCTGGCTCCTCACAAAGAATCAATGTGATCCGGATGGGAGACTGATGCTTGAGCTTCCCACTCACTAGCCTTCTTCTCCAAGCCACTGCCACACAGCTGAGGATGACCTTGAGCCTCTAATGCACCTCCACATCCAGTGGTGCCAGGGAAGCAGCCTATAAACGGAGGGTCTATCCCTAGTCCCCTACCCCTGTTACTTCCTGAACAACCCATTACAATCTAGAATCAACCAGGGAGGGGTTGTCTATTAGGCAGGCTTGTGGCCCTGGCTGCAGAATCACCTGGGTTATGTTCATCACATGACCATGAGATCCTAAGCTGTTAAGACAAAGGGATGATGACTATGACCTGGAGCTGTGAGCCAAATGACCCTTTCTCCTCTAAGTTGCCACAGCCACAGGAGGCAAAACTAAGGTTGACCTCAAAGGAATGCAAGCTCAAAGGAACGCTGGGCGCCTTGCCTGCTACCCTGTGTTGTGGGAGTGGGGTAGGATAGGAGCTAGCATTTCAGGCTGAGGACCCTACTGAGCTCTGCTCTGTATGACCCTTCCATGTGGCCCACAGAAGGTCAGGCTCTGCGTCAGTACTCAAATGGGGAGGCTCAAAGGGCACCCAGATGTAGAGAGGGAATAGTGGCGGAACAGGTCAAAGTGCCCTCCTTGGCTTGGCTAGCCAGAAGGGTTTCAGAATGGAGGAACACTGCAGGGGAAGTGACCTCAAGATGAGGTCCAAAAATCTTATCAGGGAAATCCTAATTCAAATTCCAGCCCAGGGACCCAAGCCAGAGCCTCTGCCACCCAACTGTGGGAGTCATAAAAGCCAAGGCACCCTTGCTCAGGGCCAGAGCCTAGTAGCAGGGTTACCTCTGGGATGAAGTACTTGGGCCGCCAAGGTGTGCGAAGGGTCTCCCGTTTCCGCTCTTCCACCCTCTGCTTCTCCTCCAAGCGCCGCTTCTGCTCTGTGGCTGCGTCCATGTCCCCAAGCCGCAGGTAGTGGGTGACTTCCTGCCAGAGGTTCCTAGAAAGAAAAGTAGTAAAGGAAACCTTCAGGTTGAGCCAGCTATTGGGGTGACAGTGGCCAGGCAGGGAAGGAAAGATATCTAGGCAGCTGTCTGCAGAAATGCAGTTAAGGCATCCTGAAACACCAGAGCCAGGGCTGGACCCTGGGCTCCTTGGTTACACATCTGCTGCCTCCACACAACCTGTCCTGGTGTTCTGAGACTCCTGGAAAGAGCAGGCAGAGTACCGCCGCCCGGGCATCCCTCTAAATGTTTTAGAGAAACTTAATCCTCATGACCCAACGACACAGGTGGCTATATAATTAGCAACTGCAGTTTGCAGAGAAAACTAACATCAAATGAGTGTGAAAAACAGGGAACCTCAGAAAAGCCCAGAATGGCAAACTGGGAAAATTTGAAGGGGGGGGGGGTCATCAAGAGGAAGCCAGGGGTGCCCCCAAGAGGTTGCCAGATTAGCACAGGGTGTGGCGAGAGCGGCCACTCCAGGCCTGCCTCTGTGACCCAAGACAGGACCTTTGCTCAGAACAGTATTCTGGTCGTGAGGGCTGATGGGCAGATATTATCTTGAGGCCCCCACTAGGGTAGTCTGGCTGCCACCACAGCAGAGCTGAGAGAACTGGACAAGCTATGCTGATGTCACTTGGGACCTAGTAAGGATGGTGGGGACAGGTGCATAGAGCAGCCACGGCACGTTTCAAGTAGACAGTGCAATTTCTCGACAGTCAGCTTCCTATGGCCCTTGTAACTGCTTTTCCAGATGGGGTCTTATGGTGTAAGCCCAGGCTGCTGCCTCAGTCTCCTGAGTTGTGGTTACGGCAGGCCTTGTGCCGCCATGCCCAAGCACTGTGTCTGAATACATACATAGAAGAAAAGACAGCAACCCCACTCTAACGCCAGGACTAGGTTCCTTCCCTGCTCTCTGCAGGGTTCCAAGTACCCAGAGGCTGAACCTCATCCTGGGACTGCCCCTCATGTATTTAAATCTAATGGTCCCTAAGCTGTACCTGCTTCTACCAGGAGCATAGGCTGTGTGGAGCTGATTTCCCCACCTGTGCACTCAATATCTTAAAAGGAAAGAAAAAAGGAAATGTTCACTGCTTCCCTACATAAGTTCTTCTCCCAATTACCAGCAACTCTGTGATTAATTTACAGTCAACCAATAATAGGGCAGTTGGGTTGACAAGCTTTTTAGGACAGATGGCACAAGTCTGCCAGACAGTGGATGACAGTCCATTCTTAAGAGCAGAACCACGCACCTGACAGCTACATGTGCTTGTCCCCAATGGACCCAGCAGGAGAAATTCAAATGACTAAAGAAAGCAACTCCTGGTCCTTTGCCATCAGCTGTACTGCTGACTGCTGAGGTTTCCCATGGGTCCCTCAGTGAAGGCAGCTGGGGCAGCTGTGCTGGGCAGGCATACCTGGACTCCATGGGCCCCTGCTTCTCCAGAGGTCTGAGCTTCTTCGGGTACACAGGAAGGGCAGTCGTGTCGATGACTTTGGTCTCCCCGTTGCTGTAGGTGAACTCTAAGGTGCCGTTCCATTCCCCATGAGCTTTGCAGACGATGGTGTTGGTTGGGTTGTGTTTCACTTCGGCTGTGACCCTGCATTAATGAATGAGTCAAATGAATCCAAAGGGAACTCTAGTTCAGAGACTCTTAAAGGCAGCTCAGGGAGAGAAAATGTTTTTGCAGCTTGGCTCAAAACTGGGTCTTAGAAGAAGATGCAATCTTGATAAGAACATGAAAAGAAGATGGGATTTGGCTTATCCCTGTAACCCCCAGCACTTAGGAAACAGGCGGGGGAATCTAGGCCAAGACTGAGCAGGGCTAGGTGGATAGGTAGTTCTCGTATCAAAAAGATTGAACAAAAGAGAGGGAAAAAACATGAAATCCTAATCAGGTCTGAAGATGATCAACAGTAAGAGTGGTTAGAACCCACTTCTCTGATCTGATAGACTCGCAAGTGGTTATATACAATGCCGTCTGTCACAAAGATGATCCAGCAGTAAATCGAAATAGATTCTCTACTCCCCAGACAGCATCTCCTGGTGCTGCACTCGTACCACCAGAGTAGGAAGAATTTCCCCATCCTTAAATAAGACCTTTGGTTCTGTGCCAAGCATCATGGTACATGCCTGTAAACCCAGCATCTGGGGCAGGGCCCGGAGGACTACAGATTTAAGGTGTCTAGGACGTATGACAGCTTGTCTCATAACTAAAGTCCCCTATCTGATCTGGAGAACCCAGGGATCTGTGTCTGAGTGGGAAGAAATGCCCCTGGAGCAAGTCCTCAGGACTCAGTGGCCCAGCGTGTGCTGAGTTTCCCGTTTGCTTTTCCTATTTTCATTTATTTTACCTATGTGTTTTGGGGAGAGGTATGTACATATGGGATGTAGATGTCTGTGGAGGTCAGAGGTATCGGATTGCTTGAAGCTAGTTATATAAGTGGTTGCAAGCCATCCAGTGTGGATGCTGGGAACGGAACTCTGGTTCTCTGTGAGAACAGTAAATATTCTTAACCTCTGAGCTATCTCTGGTCTGAGTATCCAGTTTTCAAATGTAGGCTTGGAAGCCACCTTTCTTGGCCTAAGAGCCATTCAGGTTCCAGGTGGACAAGCCTACTGGTGCGAAGTATGAGTGGTGTGCTGGCCAAGGGTGCACAAGGCCCTTCATGGGGAAGACACAGCTGCATGCTTTTGGTGATATAGCTATCATCTTTCAAATGCCAGCATGTTAACTGAATGCTGGCAAGAAACAGACCCTCAGCAGTACACTGGAGTTGGAGCTGATTGGGCGTCTGTGTGTGTCCCCAAGCTAAAGTCCAAGAAGCAGCAGCTTGGGTATTTGAGGTCTGCACGATGGCAGGCTTGCTCCAGTCAGAACATGAGAATAAGTCTGTCCTTCCTCCAATAGTAACCTCTCCTTCCGTTGGAGACCTGGTTTCCCAGCTTCTAAGGATGGAGACATGGTCTGTGGCTTGGGTGCCCAGGATTCCAGGAGCTGAGAAATGGGGGCCACCACAATGCCTGTGCCTGTAGAGCATTACACCATAAAGTGTGTCTTCTGCATTACATCAGACTGCCCATAAACGGTGAGTAGGGATGGCCCCAAAGCCTACCCTATGAAGTGGGGGGGAAGAGGTGTCTTTTCAAGCAAGAACTGATCACTCTGTCTTGATGGTCAACTCATCTACTGAAATGCCATCTTTTTTAGGGTAGAGACAACCAGGGGATTGAACCAGGTCTTTGTGTATGTCAGGCAAACACTACCAGTAAGGTGCATCCCCAGCCCTTGACTTTTGGAGACAGGGTCTCGCTGTTATCTGAGCTAGCCTGTAGTTTGCGGTGTAGCCCGGACTGGACCGGAACTTGAGATTTTCTTGGCTCTGCCTCCAGAGGACTTGACTTACATGGCATTCTGCCTGACTAGAACTCAATGTTTTTTAAGTGACAAGAACGCATGGATCATCAAGCTAGCCTAGTACTCAAGGATTACCTTGAACTTCTGATTCTCCTGCTTTTGCCTCCCAACTGCTGGGATTACTGATGTGCCAACCAAGTCTCCTTTCTGAAAGGGTGAGGGGACTCGGGCACAAAGAGAAATACAGCCAGAGTCCTGGCCACTTCCTACCTGTGGACCTTCCCGCCGTAGAAGGGCTTTGTGTGGAATGTCACGGTGGCAGAGTACCCGGTCTTGGCACAACTGATGTTGACCTTCCCTCCAAGCTCCACCCATGGGACAGTGAGGATAGAGCGGGCGTAGGCACTGGGCAGCGTGAAGACGTATTCTTCCCCATGGTCCAGGAGCCGAAGCACACCTCCAGGAGAGAGGGAGAGTCAGGCCAGCAGGAACAGGCAGAGAGCATGAAGGATAGGAACACTCAGGTGGGCACCCCCAAGAGGGTCCTGGAACAAACGCCGTGCCTCCCACCTCGACAGAGCTCTCTGTTCTCTGCCCCGCGTTCTGCTGTCTGAACATGCAGAGCTCTATAAAACACCACAAGCAAGGTGGGCCTGCTCTGTCATCTGAGGGGACAGCATCGTGGCTGTGATCAAGGCAGTAGGCTAGAGGTGGCCAGTGCCAAGGAAGACCCTGTCAGGACAAGTTAACCTAGAAAAAGAAGGGGCTAGGTATAAGATAAAACAGGTGCCCAGACCCACATATGTAATTCAGTGAGAAGATCAAGGAAAGAGCCTGTGTGAGGGTGGTGTGCAGAGGTGTGCTGGCTGAGCAGAGTCACAAGGAAGGGAAAGGCTCCAGTCTCGCCCCAGGGCTGCTGGAGTGTGAGTTCCCATGAACAAGTACCTCACCCTGCACATAGCTCCCTGCTCCCCTTCAGTACTGAGACGAGGGCGCCCACCATCAAGAGTACCATGAGCCTACACACACGACAGCTCTGTCCATTAAATGGATATACATGACCAAAAGTGGCTTGTGATGCTCCCTCCCAAGGCTCGTGGCTCCCCGACCTGCAAGAATGAAGACTGGCCAACAGTCCCCATGAGGACTGAGTGCTCACTGGTCACCAGTCTCCTGAGAACTTTATGTGGTGCCCTTCAAGGCCCTGCAACATCTCACAGCGAGCAGGGGGCAACTGATGCTGAGACAGAGCCTAAGGGGCACGGCCAGTCCTTGTTTCCTGAAATCAAGAGTGGAGAAATGTCGAGGAGCGGGAGCAGATGAAGGAGAAGAAAGAATGCACGTGGGGGTGAGGGGGGGGACCAGAGGTCTGCAGTACAGTGAGGAGAGAAGGAACCCAGCTCTCCAGGTTCCAGGAGCCACAGTGCACTCAACACACTACAGGCTCTCAGCTAAAGCCACGAGGGTTCCAACTCCTGCTCATGGACCAAGTGCCTGCTTCTGTGAACCCATGGAGCCATACCTGCCTCGACCACCAAGCTTGAAGGGAGGCTAACCCCCAGGGTCTGAGGGAGTGGAAACAAGTGAGGCTAGCTCGGCAGGCTCACAGCCACCTGAGCACGACAGGAGGGCTGAGGCCGTAGTTAATCCCACCTCTGACGGAGAATACAACCGAGGACACTTACTGTACATATGAAAGCCGCCTTCTTCCACCCGACCCAAAACCTACAGTATCAGAACAGACTGGCTTTTCCCGCCAGCTTCTCCAGCTCCCTCTAGCATTTGACCCAAATGACTTCTGTCCCAAAAGAGAAACTCTGGCTCCTGTGTTCTATGACCTTGACATTCCTTCTGTGCCTCAGAGAGACACCCTCCCCGTGGCCCGATCCCCATCATCCCAGCCACACACTATCATCAGGGCTTCTGACCAGAGCCTTTCAGAAGGAGCTAGCCTGAACGCCTGTCTCAAAGCCTACGTTTGTGTAAGACTTTCCCAGACTGGTCAGCTTAAGAAGACAAAAGGCTAGAGCTAGAAGGTTGAAAAGAGAAATCACAGGTGGCCCACACCTGTCATCCAGAGGCTGAGGCAGGAGGACCAAGAACACAAGGCCGACCTGGGTGATAGAGTGAAACCAGACCGCCTCAAAAGGGGAAAAAGTCACCAGCGTGGTCCTGTTAGTCTCTGTTCTAAGTTCCTGGATTCCTCAGGCTCCAGTCATGTCCCCAGAGAGGTGTTCTGACAGGGAGGAGGTTCCAGTCACTTCTAGGCCTCCATACACACTGCAGGTTTAATGGCCACTCGCTGGTTTTGAGGGTTCTTTTTCAGTGTAGACGTGGCCCCATGTAGAACAGTTAGAAGGGAGTCTCGGGGAGGGGTTGTCTAGACAGGCTGGCTGGCCTGTGGGTGTGCCCGGGAGGAGATTTAACTGGGCAGTTGAAGTGGGAATGTGAACAGTGCTGTGCCACGGGCCGAAGTCCTGAACCAACTGAGAAGAGAGCGAGGTGAGCACCAATGTGCATCTCCTGCTGTCTTCCGATGGAGACACGGTGTGCCCAGCTCTCTCAAGCTCCTGCTGCCACTTCCCCACCATGATGGACTGTCACCTGCAACTGTGAGCCCAACAAACGTTCTCCCTTGAGTTGCTTTTGTGTTTACTACAGCGACGGTAAAGGAAACTAGACAATAACCCCCTCCGGGTGGGCAGCGCATCTCCCACAGCCTTGGTGTCTGCTGTGGGGCTCCTGCCTGTCCTTAACCAGGACATCTGGATACTCACAGGCTTGCTGGAGCCCACACCAAGGTGGGCGGTCACCTGTCAGGTGAATGGATGGTTGAACAGAGAAGTCTTTCTAGAGTGCATTATCAATAAGGAGGTAAACAAGCAGCAGCCTAGGGCTGGGAGCTTCTCTAGAAAATACCTGTACAGCCAGGCAGTGGTGGCACACTCTGGAGGTAGAGGCAGGTGGATCTCTGTGAGTTCAAGGCCAGCCTGGAATACAGAATGAGTTCCAGGATAACCAGGGCTGTTACACAGAGAAACCCTGCCTAGAAAACAAAACAAAACAAAAAAAAAACCAAAGCAAAACAAACAAAAAAAGTGTTCTTTATTTCATCTACAAAGAGTTGATTGTGCTGGGCACTTGGGGGCCAGAGGCAGAAGGATCACCGCAAGTTCAGGGCCAGCCTGGACTAAATAACGAGTTACAGGGCTATAGAAAAAGCCTCTGTTTTAAACAACAAAGCAACTAAGGAACTATCTGTAGGGGGTTTAGAATAAGTAATAAAATCAACTAGAATAACCCAAATCCATTTTTTTCTAATTTTATTTCTATATCGTGTGTGGGCGTGTGTATGGGGTATGTGGTGTGTGTGTAGCAACCAGAAAATAATTAGTGGGAGAAGTTCTCCCCTTTCACCATGTGGGTCCTGGGGTTAACCTCAGGTTTTCAGGCTCCTGAGTGCCTCTTACCTACTGAGTCATCTTGCTGGTCCCAAATTTTGTTTTCCAGTGAAGACCCAAGGACACAGTCACTGCAAACTTAGACCTCCCTCGGCCCTACCGAGCCTGTCTGAGCTTTCCACTCAACCACAACTCTGTGGGGATCCACCCAGCACTTCCCATGGTGGCACCCTGGCCTGCCTGCCCTCACATCTCTGGGCCTCAGCAGCCCTGGCTGTGCCCTTGGAAGGTCTTAAAGGTTACCTGGGCCAGGCACCATTCTCTTGTTGCTTAGTCACCCCCTCACACGGTCCCGAATCTGTAAGCTTGAGAACTTTCTGGAAGTGTCTCAGGTTCTGATTACCCATCGGTAACAGAAGCTTGTAAACTCAAGGAGTCCCCAGCATGGGAGATCTCACAGACTGCTACCTCACACAGCCCACAAATATTACCGGCTGTATGCCTGTATTCCCTCTCTCTCCCCAGATCCTGCTGGAAGGGGTTTCCCTTGGGTCTGCACTTAGACAGTACCTAAGACAAAGGCCATCTAGATCACCAGTGACCTCCAGGCCCGGACACGAGTGGTCATATCTTCGTAGGGTTGCCCAGCATGGTCTGCCACAGCTACCCACTCCTCGCATGGATACTGAAATGGGTGGTTTTGTGTGTCAACTTGACACAAGGTAGAGTCATCAGAGGAAGGAGCCTCAGCTGAGGAAATTCCTCCTTGAGATCCAGTTGTAAGGCATTTTCTCATTTAATCAATGCGGGAGGGCCAGGCCCATGGTGATTGGTGCCATCCCTGGGCTGTTGGTCCTGAGTTCTGTAAGAAGAGGTGTATCTCTGGGGGCTGGGCTTTGAGGTTTCAAATACCAGATCTCTCTGTCTCTCTGTCTCTCTCTCTCTCTCTCTCTGTCTCTCTCTCTCTCTCTCTCTCTCTCTCTCTCTGCCTTCCTCTTTCAGATGGGATGTAAACCTCACTACTGCTCCAGCACCTTGCCCGTCGGCCTGTGCTATGCTCCCACCATGCCCGTCATAGACTCACCTCTGAAACTGTAAGCAAAACCCATAACCAAATGCTTGCTTGTATAAGCTGCCTTGGTCATAGTGTCTCTTCACAGCAATAGAACAGTGACTAAGACAGCTCCCCAAGGCGCTACAGGTCCCACCCCAAGAACTCATTTACCAGAAAAGAGAAGGGGATGATTTTTAGTGACCTTTTGTGATATAACTAGAGAAGTCACAAAAGTCATGCACACATACATGGCTGTTGCTAAGGTCAAGTCAGAGTGCAACACCTCTTTTTCTATACTCTCCTTTCCCCACAAGCTGACATCTATGTTCATTTATCGTGTGTCCAGTGTTCTGCCTGCATGTCTGCCTGCTGGCCAGAAGAAGGCGCCCGATCTCATTACAGATGGTTGTAAGTCACCATGTGGTTGCTGGGAATCGAACTCAGAACCTCTGGAAGAGCAACCAGTGCTCTTAACTGCCAAGCCATCTCTCCAGCCCCTTACGTCTATGTTAAATGTCTTCCTAAACTCCAAGCCTGTTAATAACTTGCTGGATCTGAAATCATTTTCCTCAAAGCAACCAAGAATGCTGGTTTCACCTGAGTAGGGGCCTGTGAATGAGTTCCTCAGGTGGCTGCTGCTGGTGGCATGGAGCTGCCGGGTCTCTGGCCCACACCCCATCTAACACACACAATGCCACACCCCCAGCATGGCCTATCCGTTAACAGCTCCCCCAGCCTCCTCCCAGGCCTTCCATCTTTTGCTCCACAGTACTCAACACAGAACTCCGCTGGCTCCCTCTCATTC